GATAGTACTTGTAAATCTCACAAAATATATGGATAAAAAATGATAGAATTGATTACAAATAGTTATTTTTGGAATCTTACAAGTTATTTGGTGTTCCTCCAATAACAGGGCGCCGAGGTGTCAAATGTCCCGGTCGTTGAGCCGGGACATTTGGCATAATTCTTAAAAATAAGGATATACATTAAGTAGACGTGATACCTAATACGTACTGAAACAATATTGCCCTATGAGGGCTCCACATTAGTCCTAAGGGCATATCATTTGCTTACAAGGACTACATCAATCATAAGAGGTCCCCGTTGTATGCCAGCGTGTCCACTAGCATTTGCATCAAGGCTAATGAAGCCCATCCAAAGCATAATGTGCCTTGGCCACTGAAGCACTATCTAGCAAAGACGTGCCCTACTCTAACACTTGTATTAAAAGGACATTACAAGCATCGTCCAAATGGCATAAATAAGAGGCCTCGACTCGACCTCAGGTATAGATATAATATTCTAATGCGTTCTGACACAAACAAATCGGTGTGATCATCATCCATTCAAAATCATGCGTGTACATAACAAATTGAATGACAAGTATAACAAAAGCACAAAACTCGATTAAAATACTCGAACTTGGACTTAATCATTACTTACAGCATAATGATGAGTATTTTCACTTACAAAAATGATTAAAAAGTCCCCAAAAATTGTCCATAAGATGTGTCATTAACACAATTAGGAAAATGCTGAAAATCGAAGTGTTAGAAGACTAAGGAAGAAAAATCTTAGAGGTCCAATCTTTCATCCTTCTCGGTCAAGGCAAAATTAGAGTTGACACTCTTGAAAATTTCAGTACTCTTCAATCGAAGTGTCATTTTTGGTCGAAAATCCTTTGAAAACTTCTACTTTCTTCCTTCAAACGAGCAGCTCAATCCATAATTAGAGAATAACATTTCCTAAACCTAGTTTTTGGACCGTACAATACAAGTAAAATACATTCATAATTCAAAGACTAGATTTCTTATTTCAAATGTAAATGTATTAATACATTGATTTTTAGCAATGAATGATAAAAACTCAAAAATCGCTTTGTGCATTAAAAACTATTTTGATTATTATTCACATAAAATGTTTTGATCAAAAGTAAAATTAATTTTCAAAATGATGTTTGAACTTAAATCATATTTTTAAAACATAATTTATCTTGAAAACTAGTTCAAAATTCCTTTCAAAAGTCTGTATTTGTCACGGATCAAACGGGGTCAAAAACGAAAAAACTGGTTGAACTGACCGCAGCCTACTGGAGGATGCGGACGTCCAAACGGTCGTCTGAACTGAGGTGCTAGACTTCTCGATTGATTGTCCGAAATCCTAGAGAGTTTTGGCGACGTCCAGTTGATACAACAGTTGAATTTTTTACCGCTATGATTTCAAATGTATAATGACTATTTTGGTCGTTCAAATCTAATGACGGACGTCTGATTGGTTGTCCGATTCGATATAGTATTTTACTTTTTGAGCTCTATAAATACTCTCACTCTTTCCATTCTTTAAAGAGTTTCAAGAGCATTAAGTGTGATGTATTTTGAGAGGATTCTTTAAACCTATATTGCATTCATTTCATTTATTTTTTCATATCAAAAATTTTGATTAATTTAAACTCTTTTCATTATCTTAATCAAAAGTTTCATCTCTCTTTTTGTACTTAACTCGTTTTTATCATTTATAGAAGAATGGAATATTTTGGAAGAATAGTTTTTGAACTTAAATTACATCTATATCTTCCACTTTTTCGTAGTGAAAACTTTGATTGATTGAATCAAATTTTTGTTATCATATTCACCAAAGTTTCTCATCTTTTTTAGAACTTAATTTATTTCTATCACTCATTAAAAGAGATAAATATATTGACAATTTTTTGAATTTAAATTACATTTAATTCTTCTTCATCTTCTCATTGAAAATCTTTGATTGATTGAATCTAATTTTTAATTATCATATTCATCGAAGTTTTCATCTAATACTTGAGATATCATTTGTTACTATTCATTGAAGTATTAGCCTCTATTAGTTTTTAATTTATTTATATCATTTATTAAAAGATGAGTTTCATTGTGAATCATTTTGTCATATATACTTGTGGGTCATATTGAGGTCCCGTAAAACTCAATAGTATAAGTCATATTGGGGTTCTGTGAAGCTCAATATTGTGTAGAATCATATTATTTATCATTATGATGAAGGAACATCGGTGATATGGTATTCTATGTGGAATAATGGGATTAGACAGTTAAATTTTTATAAGAAAAGGGGAGATGGGAGAAAAAGAGAGATGGAGAGAAATGTGATGGATAATGGGTTGTCACATCACCGATATTCCATCATCATGATGATATATATCATTACTCTATTGTATAGGGATCGATACTCCTTATTTTTAAGTCATCGAAATAATTGTAAAATGTTGGATTGCATTATAAGTCAATCAATATAGTGACAATGTCTTGCTTGTGTCAGAGGATTTGGCAGCCGGATGACTAGATCATTGTTTTGGATCGAACCTTCACAATTATATTGTTTACATCATTTTTTTCCCTTTTACTCATCGATTTCATATTTGTGCTTATTATTTGAATTGATCTATTTAATTTTTTACTTGCTTGAATATAAATTAATTCTTCAAAAAAATTATAAAAATCAATTGACCCCTCTTGATTAATTATTCTTGAACTATCAACTAGAAAACTTTTAGAGAAAATTGCCTTAAAGAAATTTTCAAATGAAACTCTTCTAAAAGAATTAGAGGCAAAAATAAAAGTCTTGTTAAACAGGCTCTTTGTACTTTAAGGTAAACATCATGAAGTTGGTCGATGAAATTTCACGGAGGTGTCGAAAGAGGTCACTTGACTCGGCATGCATTGTATTAGTCATGTCATGCCAGACCCTTTTTCTTTAATTGTTCGGCCGACTATTTTGACATCCATATATTGCCCGTAAAACGGTAAATTTAGTTCTAATTGAAATGAATGAATGGAATTGTCACACGTCCATTTTCTTTCTTTATTAACCTAAACGCGATACATGTATCATGTAATAGTAGCGATAAAATTAAACGAGTTACTTATCCGTGACGAATTTTGTTGAATCATTAGCATAAATTCATAAATGTGATGTGTGTCCCACACCCCTGGTAAGTAGGTAGTGTTCATAAATTCAATGTACTGTAACTGGACTATAGTAATGCTAGATACAGACCCACCCCTTTTGGTCCGACGTGATAAAAGATAAGGATAGTCTCCTATTCACTTGACCCAAAAAGGATTTTAGAGCATGTTTGGTCAAAAAGGCTCTTATCTTCATGCACTTGAGCCAATTTTTAAAAAGGCTATTCAACTAGATTAACGATAAAGTGGTCTAAATTGAAAACAAATCCAAATTTAGAGTATGAATAGTGTTATATCTTTTGTAATTTATACTACAAGACATGATGTCTCCAATGTAAATAATTGTCATGTTCAACGTGAAGACTATGATAAGACAATAAATTTTTATAGTATCTCGTCATTTGTCAAAAATATTGGTTAGGCATTTCAAGTTTATTCCCGTGGCACCTCTCCATGTCTACATTGCGCGTGCATTATTGGTAGAATGTATATTCAATGTAAAGGATTAAAGCTTTTCATGTAAAGAAAATGATAAGATAATAAAATTGTCATAGTATCACATCATTTGTCAGAGAATCGACGCATTTCTAATAGAGTGTGCACTCAATGTAAAGGATTGAGACGCTTAATGTGAAGACAATGATAAGACGCTAAAATTATCATAATGTCACGTCATTTATCAAAGAATTAAATATTGACAAGACATTCCAAGTTTGTGTGTCCATCCTAGTACTTTTCAACATATAGTGTAATAATTTCAATAATAAAACAGTTAAAATTTGATAAATAATCACAACCCCTAATTTAAGTCAATCTAACCATGTAGATCTATTAACCCCTTTCTTGAGTGTATTTGGATGTAGTACAAGAATTTTAAAAAGTTTCAATAGATCTAGACCACTAAATTAATTTAAATTAAGAGCTAAGATTATTTATTAATTTTTTTTTTTGGTCAAATTCATTGGTAGGAAGAACCGTTCTTTTCAATAATTTTGACTTTGTTCTGATAAGTTATGTGATAAGACTGTATTTAATTAACCTAAACAGCCGCATTGAAGTGTACAATATTTTGTCATTCGATCCTAAATTTGTTACATCATAATTGACCCCACCTACCCGCGAGGTAACATCGAGTCTTTTTCTCAATAATATATATTTATAACGTAGTATTAAATAAGATTGAATGTACAAACTATGACTTCAAAAAGGGGAACAAAAATCCAAGGCTTCATTTATACAAATTTTCCTTTACAGTGAAAAGCATTTAATGTTATTATCCACTAAGTTTCGGTGGCAATAAAAGGGTCCCACACAAAAGGAGAATTCTTCCACGTGGCACCTCTCTGTTAATTTTTCAACAGGTATGACTCTTTTGAGGAAGTAACGGAAACTGAACAACTGATGAAACAAGTTAAAAAAGAAAAAGGAGAAAATTTAATATAGTAAGTATACATACAAAGGTGTGTATGTATAGATTGTGGGAGAGAACCAGCAGAGTTTCGTGTTGGGTTTGCTTTTTCATACAATATATATTCACATGGATAGGGATACACACACACACACACACACGTATAAGGGATCATTCAAGAGCCTTCTCTCAACTAGTTTTGACTTTTTTTTTTTTTTTTTTTTTTCTTTTTTTTTTTTTNTTTTTTTTTTTTATGCACCTTTTTCTGTTCAATCTCTCTTTTTCTTCCGAGGTTTCTGTTTGTTTCTGTGAGAATTTATTACGGCGGTTACATCAGAGGGACGGTGGGTGGGCATTGTGTGTGTATATATATACAGGGTCCTCCTTGACCCAACTCCCATTCAGTATATTTCAATAATCAGAGTAATTTTTGAGGGGAAAAGAATGGACGGTGGGAAAAAATCACAATCAGGTTCTTCATTTACTTCTGATCTTTTTGGCTCGAAGGATTCTACTTCTGGTTCGGTTTTCGGGTCACTCTTAGCTCCTCCTCATAAGGTAATTGGTTAATGTTTTATGATATAACAGGCTCACTGCATTCTGTAGAATTCTGTGAATGAATTGTTGCAACCTTTAGATAGATTTTTTAATTTTTTTTCTGGGTTTTTTTTGGTTTAATTGGAGGATTTAAGAATTTTTGTGTGAACTAAATCCACTTTATTTGGTCAAAACCCTGAAGGGAAATGGAGGGCTTTGTTCGATTTGAGTGTTTCTTAGTTGAATTAAACTAAATTAAATACATTTTCATTGTTAATCTGTGAAAATTTTATTCATTTATGAGAAGCTTTGTGAAAAAAGGAGATTTAATCTATTATCCATATATGATAATTGTTTCGTTGATTCAGCTCTTCGGACGGGAGTCCCTGCATTCATATGAATGTTGGAAGAAAGATGATGCTGCAAATCAGGGTTGGAGTGGCAAGACTGGAGTTCCAAGTACGTAATTGAAGTTGAATTTATTGATGAGCTGCATGAATGATGATAAAAGTGATGAAAATTGTTTTATAATTTTGCACTATATGTCAACTAATACAGATAATGATGCTCCGAGCAATGAAGAAAAAAGCCAGAGCAGTCGAAGCAAGGACATCAATTCGTATTTTCAGAAGGAGAAATCAAACCCGTGTAATTATAGTTCATCGATATACTATGGTGGTCAAGACCTCTATACTTTACCAGAGAGTACCCAGGGCTCTTTCTTTACAACTGTGAGTACACTTTACAACAGGTCACTAAATTACGTGTTTGTTTATGCGGTCGTTGCAATTTATTTGGCATCGATAACTCGATTGCCCCTTACGACTATGTAAATGTGCACTAAATTACATGTGTGTTTTATGTGGTCATTGTAATTTATTTGGCTTTGATAATTAATTATTTGGTTCCAACATATTATATATCGCTATTGTTCACTTAGAGTGATTACAGATTACACTAGAAAATAAAGATCGAGGTGATCAAGTCCTTTAATGCTCGTTTGACAGTACCATTTTGATTGAAATAGCCATTGCAATTAGCCTTTTTTCTTTACTGTTAATCAAATTTGATAACGTTTAAACTTCTTTCGCTTTATGATCAGTTCACAGATGAGGCAGGGGATGACTCGGGCATGGCTTCGAGAGGCAACTGGTGGCAGGGCGGGTTCATATGACTATTTATTTTGTGACATGATATGGTGGCTAAGCTTTTCTTGTATTAACACGTCATTTTTCTTTCTTGGCAGGATCTCTTTATTACTAGCTGATCATCACCCTGGCATGTGATTTACAAAATACTTACCTAGGTATTTATCATCAAAGTTCTTGCGGAAATGCAGATTTACACAACATTTTTTAACATTTCTTTTCATTGTATGCTGGATCTTTGAAATAGTTTTACTTTTCTGTACTGAAAATCGTGTATATAAAGATGATATCTGGCCAAAGATTTATTTGCTACCTTTTCAAGTCGTCGATTTATTTATTAGCGATCAAGGGATTGTTTCTTTTTCGCTTGGCTGTTCATTGTTATGATTGATTTGATTAATTGTCCTTATTTTGCTGCAGGAAGACATGGATAGATGTTGGGCAGCAGCAGTTTTTTCCTACTTCCTGCAATAATGGAAAAATATATAGAAAATAGCAGTTAGCCTTGCAGGTGTTATGTCGAAATATAGCAATTATTACAAGAACCTGTAGTTATTACAATGTATTAAACTTTGTGATTTTAGCCTTTCTGGCTGTAGAATGTATATGTATTATGCGTGTCTATCTTACTATCAACATTTCTTCTGATGAATATATGTTATCCCCGCTCGTTTGGCTGTAGAATGTATATATATTATGGTTGTCTAAGTAGAGCAATGCTAGATAGACGGAAAATTGACAGGAAAAAGCAAACAGATACACTTGGCTGCAATTAATTGGGAGATGGAAAAATTTGAAAAAAACTGCCCAATCACAAGCTGCCAACTGTCTGTTTACTTTCCCTGTTTCCGATTCCCTGTTTGAGTAGATTAATTCGTCTAATTATATTGTCCAAGAGTTTGGTCAATCTTTTAGCAGCATACAGAAATTCAAGATGTCAAGAATGGGCGACTGTTAGCATATTTTAAGGATAACAACAATTTTGACTGTGTAAATATGGACCACCACCATCGTTGTTTAAATGAAAATGGTTTCTGTTGCTTTGGTTTGTGTTTGACGCCATTTTGGAATCTAGTAAACTCTGTTGCCAGATTCAGATGAGAATCATGAGATTAGATGGGATTATATCACATCAGAGGAAATGCTGGAGGAATAATGCGCATTGAGGTTGAATATTCCCTAACTCCATCTATTTCTTTATTGTTGTCACGGGTTCTATGATCAAATTTCTTGATAGTTATCCGTCATTTGTTTGAGTTGTGACAGTTATAACGAAAATCAACATCACTTACGTGAATATGTGAGTCATGTAGAAGTAAGACCGTCGTGTAACATGAGATTATCAAAGTTACAATGAAATGAAAACCTCACAAACCCGGGAGCCTTGTGAGAACCAAAAGCACAGTTTGCACCTCCCATTTTTGAAGGAAGGCCCTAAATGGTGGTTTGTCATTTGACGAACTCCGAGTCAAGGTCACATTGTCCGTCGATATGGACGGTGAACGCTTTGCCTTGAAAAATAATCATCCTTCCTCATGTGACTCAAAATATGTCGATTATAACATGTCTCATAAAATCTGACACCAATATCCTTTGTTTAAAAGTGATGACCTGGTGAGGACCCTACCACCGGATGTACAATAGCAGTTACAAAGGGTACATAATATAATTAAAGATACGATAACGATATAATCAATAAATGGTCAACATATGTCTAAAAGATTAGAAATACCCGACTTCAATCTCCTATAAATATTGAACTTGAAATACCCGACTTCAATCTCCTATAAATATTGAACTTGAACAAAGGAAAATATGTAATATCTTAACATTTCATTGGATGTCATATCGATCTCTTTGAAATGAGTAATTGATTTTATTTTCTTCGCCTCCACTAGTTTGGTAAACAGAAAATATGTAACTCTAAAATACAATATTAGGGTTGGAATTTGTAGACTTTCAAGGGGAAGAAAACATAATTATTTTTTATCTTACTTTATGTTGATGTCAACAACTGGGCATTTGGTCTAGTGGTATGATTCTCGCTTAGGGTGCGAGAGGTCCCGAGTTCAATTCTCGGAATGCCCCATTTCTGTTTTAATTTTTCCGAATATGGAGGTAGTGCCTAGTGGCCAGTTCCTTGATTCCTTCCTAGTTTGGAAATTTATTCTTAATTTCTTTCCTATCCGCGTCCATAGAAGCAACACAAACAATTCACCGCTATGATCGATCATTTTTACGCCCCTTTGCATTACACTCGCACTATCTATCAAAATCTATTTCGTATCAAACTTGCGAAAGAGTTAAGAGTGATCTATCAACCTTTCGAGTTGGCCAGCCAAGAAGTGGAATCCAAATGCTCTCGTCAATAATCAAACTGATTTTGGAGAAGATTTGATCTTAATGCTTAGAAAAGTCATCAAGTCGTGGATATGTGTTGACAATATTAAAGCTATGCTCTTTAATACTCTAGAGTAGTGTTCGTGCGAAACCAACAAATGTACGAGATCGTTGATAAGTAATAGAATTAGTGAGTTGAGAGTATCGTCCAACATGAAATATATTCAATTCAAGTTTTACTAGTTTTGCTTCGAATTACAAACAAAAGAGAATTTGATTTGATTTATGTTAAATTAATCTAAAATAACTATAAAAATGTGATTTTTATCAATTTATGGATGATTGTATTGAATTTCAAATCCGCATATTGCTATCTATTTCAAATCTTGATTTATAATCTAATTTCGTTCATGCATTCTTGACAATCAATAAAATTATGATATATAATTTTCTTTTTAAGATAAATTAAATATATCTTAACCACGACCTAAAGCTATTCTTAGTTTGAATTCGAATAATTTGAATGTATTCAAGTTTAGATTATCTATATGATTGCTCACGTGATAAATGTTATTCCTAACAGCTATTGTATATATATTAATTTTGTCACGTTCTAAATTTATTGTGAGCCTCCCAACGCTACAACGAGCAACTAATTATTCAATTTGTGGCCAATCAATTAAATAATGCAATGTGTATACAAAATTAATAAAAAAACAAAAGAAATAAACTAAACTACTAATCTTGAATTAAAACAAATAAATAATTAGGGTTCATTTCCATTCAATACAAAAATGATCTAACCTAGCATATTAATGAATAATAGAAAAATATCATCCAGATCATGAAAGAATACAAAAGATGTTAATTTTCAAGTTCAAGGATGAATTCTGCAAAATCTTGATGTAATTGACCTTCAATTCCTTATTAGAGCACGATGTCTTCTCTTTAAAGCGATGAATTAACCTCTTGTTCTGGATGAGTTTGATATTATTCTTACGTATGAAGAGGCAAGAAAGGGATTTTCCAATGTGTAACCCTCATTTTGTATTTATGACAATTGAGATATAGGCCAAAATCACATCCAATTTGAGTTCCAAAAGAATTCGAATCTCGAAAAGAAACTGATGATTCATTTGCGGAAAATGGCCCCCATGCGCGCATAGGCATAACTACCACGTGCGTGCTGTTGAGAAGTGCACACGCCAAAATAGCCCGCGCCCTGCACATATTTGCGTCGGTTTGTTCTTGAGCAATTTTTGGTATTTTGATTATAGCTTTCTCTCCCAATATCTGATTGAAGTGATTCAAAATGAGTTGAAAATATAACTCAAATGGATACAACTATTCTAGAAATACAAGTTATCTAATTCAAATGTTTTCTATCTAAAAAATGGGTATCAAATTGAGACTAAAAATCTGGAGCATAACTTGTTTGGTTGGAAATTGATTTGTGAAAATAATTCAACAATATTTCACTCATTTGAACTTGAATTGCATCCAATTGATCATACGTGATCTTCAATATCATTTTATGGTCCGAATCAATTATTGAATATTTACACTTTGGTCCCAAAAATTCACTTTTGCCCATTTTTCGTTAATTTCTTCCAATTCCACCAATGTGCATTGAGTTCAACCTAACAAACATAATTAACACATAATTAAGCTATAATTCATCCAAATCACTAATAAATACTCAAATTTAATGACTTAAATAAGTGTACAAAATACACTTATCAAATAGCTCTCCAAAAGCTAGTGCAAATTATGAATTGAAGTTTGACACAACACTTGCGTCTTCCCTGAATTTCCAATCCCTCCCCACACCACAAAAAAAAAATAAATAAATAATGCACAAACTTTATTAACTCTTTGATATTATTATGTCCTTATAGTGATGGCCGTCTATTATCACTCTTTTAACAATCGCCACAATGAATTTTGTGACAAATTCCAACGGGAAAAATACTGACAAAACAGAGATATTTTATTGATATATGACATATACAATTATACAATGTGTAATATTTTCTTTATACATTAAAGATATCAAAAGATTGTCATAATACTTTTCATGCTTTGGCACTGAATGTGCACAAAATAAGTACTATCTGATGGTGTGAATTCAAGACGTTTGTTGGATTCCTTCTCCTCTCAAGCCCCATTCAAAAAGAGTTAAGTACTTCTCAATCGTGAATATTTGAACTAATTGTTCGCTATTTAAGAATTCTTATTTAGGCATTTCATACTACCCATTCATAGGCAATTTACCTGAATGACTCTCTTTAACTAAATATATCATTTCTTGCTATGAAACTTGTAAAGCGATTGTGTATACTACATTAGGAACACCTGATGATATATTTAGAATTTCTTTCCATTGTTTCCTTAGTAGTTGAATAAATCATTAAAGAAAAATATAACTGAGGTCAGATATATTAACCAACTGGTCCTAAGAATTCGTTTGACGTGATTTTTGCTTCATATATAAGAGTTTTCTAAGGAAACTACCTTAATTTTTATTTGATAATTAGTTTTTAAGAGAGACTCTTATTTCGAAAGTGTTTTTAGAAAAAAAAGTCACATCGGTTAAGCTTTCTATAAAAGTTCTTCTAATTAGCCAAACGGGTCCAAAAGTAGCTTTTAAATTTCAAAAACTCATTTTGACTTCTCGAAAGTCATGTCAAACAGGACCTTAAAATGTTAATTTTGTTAAGAGATTTCTCAAATAGAATTAGTCTACTTATACATCAAGACATGTACATAAGTGGTTACACCCCCCTCGCATGGGGGGTGGGACTCACTCGAATAAAATTTATTCGAGTGGGATTTTATTCGAGTGGGTCCTACCCCCCATGCGAGGGGGGTATAACCCCCTATGTACATCTTGATATACAAGTAGCGTCACCGTCTCAAATATCAATTTGTGAGTTCATACTAAGCAACAAGTAATTTTTTTTTAGTTAGAAGAACTTTTAAAGTCCTGATTGGCTTGTATTTGAGAAGTCAAAAGGTTATTTTGAGATCTAAAGCTACTTTTGCACCAATTTAACTAATTTTATAAAAGCTTTCAATGCGATTTCCTCTAAAAGTTCTTTTAAAAATTAGCTTCTAAACACTAGTTAATGTAGATTTTTCAAAAAGCACTTCTATAAATCAAATGGACCATAAGACAAATCCAAACCTTAATAATAGTACTAATTAAAATGTGTAGCACAAGTCAGTCAAATGATATTTTGTTTATAAATACTCAAATCACTTTTTATTTATACATTTTGAAGAATCTACAAGTACTATCTATTTATATAAGTAGTTACTTATAATAAAAAACAAATGTTGCATGCTACATTAATACATATATTTGTTGTGCGAAAGTGAGTTGAGCAATGCTAGAGTCCACATTCAAGCATTCTTCTTTCTCGGCAATTGTTTTACACTAAGGCCCCGTTTGATAGCATGAATTTTTCATGGAAAATGAAATTCAAAATCCATTTTCCATCTTTGGTCGGGTTTGATGTCCAAAATTTTCCTTGCCAATTGTGCAAAAAGTTTTCTCCTCACGCGCCATTTTCTAGGCGTTAAGTGAAATGTCGAATTCTCACTTTTTTTTTTGTTGTAATTGAAACAAATTTCATAACCAATTGTAATTTTTTTTTTACTTTAATGGACAATTTTCATGTAAAACAAAGTCAAATGAATACTAAACTTTGATTAAAAAAAATGATTTTTTAAGATATTTTATTTTTTTACTTTTTGAAAATGAAAACAAATTTTATAACTAAATGTGGAAAAAATTATCACTTTAATGGACAATTTTCATATAAAACAAAGTCAAACGAACACAAAAAGATCCAAAATTTTAAAATTTTCCCGATGAAAAATTATATCAATCAAACACACTTAATTAAAAATTCTCTGGAAAACAAGTTATAAACAATTACTTTCTCTAGAATTACTTTTTTTCCACCAATTTTCCACCACTGCAATCAAACGGACCCTAATAAAATCTATTCTCCAGATAACTCTAGAGATAATTAAGGAAAATGGGGTATGTGAAGATTTAAAAACTTATTTCAAAGATATTGTCAATTAAGCATGTTTGGATCAACTAATTTAAAGTTTTTTTTTTTCTTTTTGGGCAAAATATATGTCAGGAGTTATTTAGCTCCTGTTTGGCCTCCGTTTTTTCTCATTAAATTTCATTTTCACACTTTTCCACAAACTAACTTGTCAACTACTTGTCTAAATCACTCCACTCGCGTGTCAGGCCTGACCATGTACAATACAACCGTTGACAATGAAGGACGAAAACGCCCTCTTTCTCATGTGCTAGCTGCAATTCAACATTGTCAAAAAAGGTAGGGGCAATATTGTCATTAGTGGCTTAATGGTGCTTTTAAAATATGAGAAAATCATGGACATATGCGGAAACGTACACAACTTTGCAGTGAAATAGTTAGTGGGTCCCAGCTGCCTACCATTTTTGACCCAAGAAAATGAAATGTAATGAGAAAAAACGGGGGCCAAACATGGGCTTAAACAATACTTTCTTTTTCAATAATATGTTTTCAAAGCTCGGATCAACTTCGACTAAACTTAAAATTAAATGAATAAGCTTTAAAATAATTTTTTATTGGTAAAAATTATAAATGTGTAAGTTATTATTAATTTTAAAAGTAAGGTAAAAGTTACTTAAAATGTAATTTTACTTCATTTTAAGCACAATCTAACATAATTTAGACTGCCGAGGTGAGATTAAAAATAGAAAAATGAGAAAACATTATACTTGAGGAGGCTCTATTTTGAGGCTTATTTCATTGAATTTTCGAAAGAGTTAAGAAAATTGATCGTGTTTAAATTTAAGACCCCTTCCATTTCTATTCAATTTTTACAAAAAGTTCATTAAATCTTAAAGTGTTTATAAATAATTGTGACTATAAACTGATATGAATAAACGATAAATAAGTGAATACTACCTATAGACCTCGTGAATAAAAAGTGATTTGCTAAATTAATATATATATAATAAAGACTTTAGTCGCGTCAATGCTAGAAAAAACAAAGATTGCTGTGATCATCCCATACGTCTGCTTTGGCGGGGTCTCCTAGGTAATCAATCAGTATCTATCACTTGGTCAATTTATTCATTCCTTCTTAGCGGACAAGTTAGGCTCCCTCTATATAATAAGGCTCAACCCTGGAGAATGGAAATACAGCAAATTATAGACTGAAAATCAAAGGAGAGTAAAATGGCAGAAGTGAAGCTTTATGGTAGTTGGTCAAGCCCATTTAGCCACAGAATAGAGGTTGCTTTGAAACTCAAGGGCGTTGAGTACGAATTCATAAGCGAAGATGTACACAACAAGTCCCCTTTGCTGTTAAAGTACAACCCAGTTCACAAGAAAATTCCTGTGTTAGTACACAATGGCAAGCCAATCTGTGAGTCTCTGGTGATTCTTGAATACATTGATGAAACCTGGGAAGAAGGCCCTTCTCTTTTACCTAAAGATCCTTATGAGAGAGCCATGGTGCGCTTCTGGGCTAAGTTATTGGATGAAAAGGTACAGTATTAAACATGTCACATGGTCTTATAATGGTTCTACTTGCACATTCAACAATTAACGATGTTTCTATTTTTTGTACGTTTTTTAGGGTTTGCCTGCAATGCTGAAAGCTTGTTTGCGCATAGGAGAGGAGCAAGAGAAGGCCAAGGAAGAATCGACTGAACTTCTGAAATTTCTCGAGGGCACACTTTCTGGCAATAAATTCTTTGGGGGTGACACTATTGGAATGGTTGATATAGTTGCCAATTTCATGTCATACTGGTTTATAATTTGGCAAGAATTGGCAGGATTACAAGTGTTGACTAAAGAAAAATTTCCAAAGTTAGGTGAATGGATGGATGAGTACCTAAACTCTGACATTATAAAGGAAAATCTGCCTCCCAAAGATAAGTTGACTGAATATTTCCAAGCTCGTTTTGAAGCTACTGCTGCTGCTAATGCCGCCGCTGCCGGTGGTGGTGGGTTACCCAAATGAAATCTAAGGAGCTAATTACTTCATGTTTTGATATTGAACTCGAAATTATGAAATGAAGGGCATTATGACTACCCTTTTATCGAAGAAACTATGCAATGCATAATTTGAGTTCTTGTCTGTTATTTTTAGTACCTTTCTATCAATGTTTAGCCTTTATATTTATCTGGAAAGTTCATATATACGATTCATGTCACTGATATCTACTTTGTGTGTGTGTATATATATATATATATATATCTTATTTTATAGCAAGAATAATAATCATTTGTGGAAAATACAAGTGATAACTAGTTATATTTCATGATTGTGTAGTGACTTTAGCATAATCATAGGAAACATGTTATATTCCTTAATTGTATGGATTGTTGACTACGTTACCGTAGTTATCGGAGGTAGAGACTAATTGGACGAGAAATTTTAGAAAATCGATTAATTTGCTTTTGTATATAGGATTTGTTGCCTTGTCGCTACAAAATTTGTCGATGAAATATATTAACTTTCACAAATTCATTGTATATAGAACACAAAAGTTACCTCCAATCTGTTGACATTGCCCCTTCGTATTGAAATGCTAAGCAACAATAATTATTATAATTCCAACCTAGACTTTATAGTTATTTCCTTATTTATCACATGACTTTTAGCCTGGTGTACTTGTTGATGATTGATGAAAGATAGATGAAAATTTTTTGTTGATTTTGATAAAGATTGATAAAATATATAGTTGAAAAATTAATAAAAATTGTGGATCTCATCAAATCTATGATTGCAAATGAATTTGAGGAAAAATTAGTTTTAGAAAATGGGTGTAACAATAGTTTATTTGGTTAACTTCTATAATAATAACATTTAACATATGTTTGATACTTATTTTTTAGAATTTATTTATTATCAAACTCATATCAACCACACATTTTCATAATAAATAATTATGCATGTGAACCCATAACTTTTACCCCTTTTTAACCCAACGTTCTCCAAAAAAAATCATTTTCATAAAATTTATTCTCGAAAAATCCATAACAAATCACCTTTAGTTTCATCAAGACTGATCTCTGCTCATAGTGAATAGGGAATATCATACCCATTGGTGAGGTGGCAAGATGTGGTCTTACCATCTCACCGGTATTTTAGACCCCACCGCTGAAATGGCAAGACCATATCTTGCCACCTCATGAGTGGATAACATCACTTCAACCCACCATGAGGAGTTTCATATCAAACAAATAATTAATGTACCTTAAGGCATCTATAATCCATATTACCAGTTGACACACTTAATGTTAAAGCTCCTGTTAAAGAGATAACACACCAAGTGTCAAATCTCACAATAGCAAACCCAACCACTATGCATGCAACACGTTACACACAATAACATGATCACTCTTAAAATCATACAAATGTACACACCGAACATAATGTAACATAAACAATGTACCAGAATCAAACAATCATTCACGCAAATGGAATTTCGCACATGCAATGCGATAGTAATGACAGGAGAATTTATTATCAATAAACCTCACTCGGATCATATCTACACCCAGTGGCAACATCTTATAAAATATCAAAACTTACCATTGCTGCGATATCTCTTACAATTTGTTCTCGACTTAGATATATCACAACTTCTACCATTCTTTTTATCACCCTTATCACTTGAGTCACCACTGTCTTGATTTCCTTCATGACTGTTTTGCTTAAGCTGTGTTCTACCCCTTATCATGTGAATCTCACTAATAATTTTTTAGCTTTAATTTTCATCAACTTAGTTTTACGGGAATCTATGACAATCTAAGGTGTTAAAATACTCAAATCATACTTAATTGCATCTTTACCCCTTTATAAGTGTTGACATGGAATTAACCAAAATTGTGGTATTATATGTTTCAGACATCGTTTCATCTCAATTAACAATGTCTTGCACAAGTTTGTCAAACACGTCTAAATTGTCATCAAGATCATTTGAAAGATCTATTTTAAACTGAAAAATATCTCAAATAAGTAAAGTTTTTTAAGAGTACACTTGTGCAAATACAATTCCTTCAAAGAGAGAATGATAGATGCAATATTACAAATAAGAAGAAGGAAGCAATTTAGATCACTATTTCTCATGACATTGAAATAACAGTTGCCTTTCAATTCAAATTGCAACACACATTTTCTCTCGAAGCAAGATGCGTATATAAAAACATTAGGGCTAGCACAAAATGGGTTAAGATAAGTGTAGTGAACTAACACAATTAAAGGGTCATCCAACTAATGAACGGGCATTGAGCAACTATTAATTATAAGGGAAAAATTCACAACTCGTGTATTAACTATGAGCCAATTCAATTTTCAAGTTTTAATTTTCAAAATTCAAAACTCGGTTGGTAATTAAATTTTATTAATTAAATTAAAAATTATATATATAATAATACCAATCTCTCTCCAGTCCGACCATATTTACGATATTTTTTTTGTCGCCATCCCTTCTTACAGTTGTCGGCATTCACTCACCATCGACATTCATCCACTGGCATCTAAATAACTGTGCCAAGCAAAAGATAGAATCTACACAATTTGTTGATGACTAAGCATCTTCTTCAGCGGCGAACTAATCGTCGTTCAGCGACGAAGAATCATCATCAACTTAGATATGTGAGAGAGAGAGAGAGAGAGAGAGAGAGAGAGAGAGAGAGAGAGAGAGAGAGCAACCGCTAAAGAATATCACAACTGAGCAGCGTTGGTATAATTTAAATATATTTTTTAAATCTGGAATTGAAAATAGCCACGGATCTAATTTACATAGTACTCAACAGATCAAATAATTTTAATTCTCATCGTCGAAATCTGGTTAACTAAATTTGTGACCAGTTTAGAAAACTCGGTGGCATGTGATCAGTTTTCTTGAATTTACATTGATATGTTGCCTTTGATATTATTCCAATGGCATAAGACCAATTCTTTAGGATCTGTGATCTATAGACATAATATGTTACCTATGAATGGTGACTTTGACCAATTAATATTGACTTGTGAACTATAAGAAGTGATCTATGAACATCTGTGACATATACAATATGACAAGTGATTTGTGATTGGTGGCATGTGACCTATGAACTATAACATGTGAATGGTGACTTGTATTTTTTTTTAACGTATTCAATATGACTAGTGATTTGTGATTGGTGACATGTGACCTATGAACTATAACATGTGAATGGTGACTTGTAGTTTTTTTTCAAACTGTCCAAATATGTATTGACACGTGTCCTCTTTGTCATTGAATCTGTCCTTATAGTATAACTTTTTTTGTAGAAGGTTCGTGAGATTTAGGGCTTCGAGATAAAGATCAATTAATGCTAAAGAGTGAAGAAGGATGTTGGTGAGATCACCCTATGCATCAGCTTTCAAGAGAGAAAAAGTACAATTAAATTACTTGTTCACTTTTATATATAAATATATTGTAAGCAAGCAAAGTATAAACAAGCACTTCACACCTACTACAATCAATATCGATTACTTGATAAAATTACTAAAAAAAAAAATTGTTAGTGTATTAATTTATTGAATGTTGTTTCTTAGCGAACAAGTTATATGCTCCCTTCGCNAATTTATTGAATGTTGTTTCTTAGCGAACAAGTTATATGCTCCCTTCGCATATATAGCCATTGTTTGGTCCTCCATTATTTGCTATTATTTGAGATTATAATTTTTGAAATAGTGCTTTTTTTTAAATGTGTGGTTAAAAGAAGAAAATTTTTTGGATTTTTGTATAAAATTATTTTATTGGAGAATGTGTGGTTGATAAGAAGAGCTGGAAAAATAAATTATAATTTTAGTGTGGGCCAAACGGGGCATTATAAGAGCTCAACCCGCATAATGAAAATATAGGGTGAAATTCAAGGTGTAAAATGGCGGAAGTGAAACTATTTGGTACGTGGTTTAGTCCATTTAGCCGGAGAATTGAGATTGCCTTGAAACTTAAGGGCGTCAAATATAAATTCATAGAAGAAGAGTTGAACAACAAGTCACTGTTGATGCTAAAGTACAACCCAGTTTACAAGAAAATTCCCGTGCTACTCCACAATGGCAAGCCAATTTGTGAGTCTTTGGTGATTCTTGAATACATTGATGAAACATGGGAAGGCCCTTCCATTTGGCCAAGAGATCCTTATGAAAGAGCCACAACGCGCTTCTGGGCTAAGTTCTTTGATGAGAAGGTATGTTTGTTGTTTAAATGCACGAGTCGTTAAATATGAGATACATTTAAAACTCGATCATTTAAAATTTTAACCTATTACAAAGAAGACACTCTCTTTTAAACTAGCATTTTTTTTATGCCACGATATTTTGCACGTATTAAAATTTGAGGTACTATCTTAAAAAATCAACATTACTTAGGGGAGTTGCTCAATCTTTTATATGTTAATTTATATTTCGACAATTAGTCGATGTGGGATTTATCACTTAGCACATGTTTGACAACCATTAAAACAAAACTCTTTTTCTCAAATTCATTTTCAACTACACATTCTCACAATAAAGCTTTTGTTTAGGCTCCATTTTAATGAAAATTTGGGAGAAAATGAGTTTTGGAACAGTGATTTTTTTTGAAGAGTGTGTAGTTAAAAAATAAGAAAAATATTTTGATTTACAAGTAATATTATTTTATGGGGAAATGTGTGGTTGAAAATGAGTTTTGAAAAAATGGGGGCCAAACATAGGCAAAATATTTTGCACGTACACCGAAAATTTTTTCCTACATTTTTAATCACACGTTCTCCAAAAAAATCATTATTTCAAAATTCATTTTTCCCTTATTTTTTAATTTTAATTTGATCAAACTTCTCGTTTGAGATTAATGGGTTCTGATATGATATTAAGAGTTGAAATTCCATCTTAAAATGTCGATCTTATTAAGAAAATAATTTAAATCTTTATATGTTGATGTATATTTTAATAATTAATCGACATGAAATTTATTCCTTAACAATATGTGTGTGTATCACATGCTCGTCCAAAAAAAAAATAAAAATCATTTGCTTTTAGTGTGTGCCTGCAATGTGGAAAGTATGTTGGAGCAAAGGAGAGGAGCAAGAGAAGCTCAAGGAAGAATGAACTGAACTCCTGAAAATTCTTAAGAGTACACTTCCAAGCAATATTGCATATTGGTTTGGAATTCTCCAAGAATTGGCAGGACTGCAAGTATTCACAAAAGAGAAATTTCCCAATGTAGGTGAATGGATTGATGAATTCCATAATTGCAATATTATAAAGGAAAATCTACCTCTCGAAGATAAGTTAGTTGCGCATTTTCAAGCCCGTTTCCGAG